ATCTACTTTTGTGTTGCTACTCGCCATGAACATCCATCTTTATGACAACAGTGTACCCATTTCCAGCAGGATAACAAGCCACATGAAAACACTGAGATCATCATTAAACTGGTTTCTTGAACATGACAATGAGTTCACTGTTCTCAAATGGCACAGTCACCAGATCTCAATTCAATAGAGGGATGTGGTGTAACCAGAGATTTACATCATGAACAAATAGCTAACAAAACAACAGCGACTGTGTGATTACATTCATGTGTTTCTCTCGTTTTTCAGACTTTGATGAACAAACAGCCGATGACTGGGATGTTGACATGAGTGTTTACTATGATAAAGGTAACTTTTTTTTACCCTAATTAACTAAACTGTGCTCTATTAATGCAGAGTCAGATTTCCTATAACCAAGTCCTTTTACAGATGGAGGTGATATGGATGCTCGAGATTACGTCACAATGCGGTATGAAAAGAGGCTGAGGGAGGGTCATGAAGATGGATCGGGGCACAATCAGTCTATTGGCCGCTTTGAGAGGTTCACTAAGGTGAGGAGGTTGCCATCACTTATAACTTAATGTAATCTTTCCTCTTGTTACACATCAGATAACTGCACATATATTTTTTCTCTGATTAGGGCTTTGGGCGTCGTGTGATGGAGAAACATGGATGGAGGGAAGGTGAAGGCCTGGGAAACAGCCAGATTGGAATTTCTGAAGCGCTTGAGAATGAGGGGCAACATCCCAACTGTAAAAGAGGCTTTGGGTGAGCATGAGCACAATCAACGGAAGATTTTGATCGACTTTGCTCTCCAGCTGATGGCAGGTCGCTTGTTCCAGGCTCAGGTGTCAATCAATACTGCTATTCTTCAGTTTCATTGGTAGTTGTTTCGATCCTATGGAGGAAGTTAAAAGAAGTTAATTTTACATCCAACCCACTTCCCAACGCCAGCAGTTATTCCACCCTTAGTCACTTGAAATTGCAAAATGTCACTCACTTTGCTTCCAGTGTGGATGCAGCTTAACAGCTAATATATGCTAATATAATTTTAAGCTTTGGTGTGTGAGGTAGGTGATGCTGATGCTGTGTTGTTTTTTTTCCTTTTCTTTTTTGCAGGTATCATGGAGAAAAATTGGTCTTACATCCTATAAAAAAGGCCAGAACAGATTATCATATAACTACAGTGTATGATAAACCCAAAGACATAGACAGAGGCGATACCTTGCTGAGACGGCAGCCGAACACAAGTATGAAGTACAGAGGGTGGCAACCAGGTGGCAGCATTGGCCCACAAAGATCACAAAGATGACTTTAATAAAATTTAATTAAAACCATTTTAACATCATGGAACTCTTTTTTTTAAACACACACACACCTATATCTGTATCTCTCTCTCTCTCTATATATATATATACGTTAAAATTTTTCATGTGATTAGTGTCTCTAATTTTTAATCTCACACAAAATCTAGTTTTCCTATATTAACTATACACATGTGTATGAATTGTACCAAGCTATTAATGACGGAATAATGTGGTGTTTGAACAAGGATGAGATGATTTAGAAAAAAATGTAGTCTGAAATTAGTCCTGCACGTCGCGCCATGTTAACAACCGGCTTTTATTTTGACACGCCAGTTACGTAACTTGGATATACTTCCGAGTAGCGTTAGCATGTGTTAGCGACTTCCATACGCATGTAAATA